GAAGCAGAAATGTGGTATGGAATTGAACTGTGAATGAAAGCTCTGTCTATGATGTTATCAAAACTTTCAGCAAACTCCGGTAACTAATGCAATGCCAATACAATCGTTTTATTACCGACACTCTTAAAAATTCCTGATCAAAAAACGGTAAAAAGTACCGGCACTCAGACTGCCGGTATTTTTGACCCTAAAAAGTAAAAATTGATTATTACCGGAACATGTTACGGATCAAAAAATCTGATATAACGTAATTTTTACTGTGATAATTTCAGTAAAATCATTAAATCACTCTAATTAAATATATATTACAATATAATATTTTACGGCAAAAGTGGATTTTTCGGTAAAATGGATTTTACGGATGATGCTCTTAAACTGCAGGTTCTATTTACCGTAATTTTATTAGGTATTTTTTTACAGTGTAGGTGTTTTGGTTATCATAAAATTTATGAATTGTTGTAAATATGACACTTTTTTACCATACCTGTCGTACTTCATCCCAGACACAGTATTCATTATATGCTTCATCTAAGTCTGACCATTCTTCTTTGGCGAAATCTGCCATCATCTTTAGAAACTTTTTCATTTTCTTTAAAAAAAATATGGTTAAGCTCTAAATTATTACTTAGTAGTACAGTGAACCGGAAGATAAAAGATAATCACCCTTATTAATTTACATGCTAGTAGTTTTTTTCATTCTAAAAACTAGTAGTAACTTTGAGATAGATTATACATGTAGTAAGATTGTTTTATTGGTAGTCGATTAGTCTTAATTAAATTACGAAATTAGATAAAAAAAATTCTTTTTATTAATAAACATTATTTTCTTTTCCAATGTATTAAGATCTGGAAAACATGGTCCCATTAGTTTGATTTGTAAAGTGCGTATAAATGTTGTGAACACGTAATTCTCCTTGTCTCGGAAACTTAAGTGAATCAAAACATATTTGTTCACAATAATAAGAATCCTTCTCCAAATGAAATAACTAATACTTTTTTTCCCCTTAAAAAAACTTTTATTAATTTTTCACTGTTTTATTATTTTTCATTAGAATAGCGGGGTTTCCAAAAACTGGGAAATGGGGTGAATACCGTTTAGTCAGGAAAATGGCCAAAGTTTTGACCCCTCAATTTAAATTTTAATATTTGTGTATTTCCCGATATCTCGAGAATGTTTTAAGCGAAACAGAAAAATTTGAACAGAATTATGGAATTTATTTCTTTCAATTCAAAAAGCAATTTTTAATAATTATATATATTTATTATTCTATATAATAATCGTTGAAACAGATTTGAATTCATAAAATTTTTTAAATCAATTTAAAGAATGTAATTTTTTATGTCAAAATCCCAAAATTTGACAGGAATCGGTCGAATAGTTGTTGAGAAATCCAATATTAAAAAATTCGGTTTCTCAGAAACTATTCAAATGATTTCGTTCACATTTTCCATTTTGTAACATAAAACTACTTTTTTCATCTAAAAATTTGTATACCTTACAATTCAAAAATTTTTGAGCATTATTAAATATAATATTAAAAAAAATAATAAATATTTACTAAAATTTTTATTTTGCACTGAATTATCTTTAAATAAACAAACATTATCATCTTTTGTAGCAATTTTTTGAGCCTCTTAAGAAATCAAGGATATATGGCGAAAGTATAAGAATAAATTAATTAAATATAAGAATTAAAAGAAACGTAAATAAAGCATAAACGAAAGTACATAAATTGACATGGAATAGCTTCAGTTCAGTAAATAAGGATCTTCCTCATTGTGTAATGTCTTTCGCAGTGTTTAGACTCTGAGGAAGTTTCTTGTTTATACAAATGAAACTATTATATGTCAGTTTATGTATTTTCCTTTGTGCTTCCACGTTGTTTTTCGCATTAGTCTACATAGCCCAAAGCATCACCCTTCCCTTTGTCCCGATCATTAGAACAAAAGTTATTCAGGGTGTTTTTTTTTTCTTTTCTTTTCCCCGTCTCCTTTGTATAGTTTCAACGATGCCAAACATCTATACCAAGATCTTAAACGTATATAAATCAAGGCTTGAAGTCTAAAAAAAAGTTACTTTATCCTTTTTTGTTGATGTCGCATTCTAACATCACCTAGATGTCAACATGAGACCTTTAATTGTCGCAGGTATTTCATCCTGCGATGAAAACGGGACATACTCACGTCAACAGGATGTCAGGGTGAAAACTGTGACATATTCAAGTCACAACAAGATGTCAGTGGAAAACTGTGACATATTCACGTCTCAACAGGATGTCAGAGTGAAAACTGTGCCATATTCACGTCTCAACAGGATGTCAGTGTGAAAACTGTGACACATTCAATTTTCAACAGGATCACCATGCGACAGATTCTTGTCTGAACAGGATCTTTGTGCGAGACGATATCCCCATCTCAAATATGTCACTGAGACTGTTGCATTTTTGTTGCAACCTAGTAACGGTGCTACCTGAGTATGAGCTATGAATAAAAATTTTGTAGTTGTGAAATATAATGTTTGCATTGATATGAGTTACAGTTTTTAAAATACGTCAACAAGTTCTAATTTCCCAAAGGAACCTCAAAATATTAAGATTCAAGACATAAAAAGTTGTAAATTTCTCTAAATTTGTTTTCATACTCTAACAACTTTAAAAAAATAATCTTACCTCTTCTGGTACCTTATCTAAGCATCCATCAAACTCATCAAGTGCGACTTGATCTGCAATTAAATTGTTTTCAGTTAAGGAAAGAAAATGTCATTTTTAAAAATGAGCCACTTTCCAGTGTTCAATATTATATGGAATAAAAAAAAGACTTACAAAAGATTAAGATATTCGTTGCTAAAATTGATATTTAAATAAGAGTTTGTTCCTTTGGTTAGGTTTATTAGAAAGAAATTCAGGTGATAACTAACTAAAGTTTAGCTAAAGTTCAGGTGACTTAGCTAAACTTTTGGCAGTTACAGAACTGCATTGGCTAAACTATTCATTCTTTTTTTATTTTTTTAACTTGTAATCGAAGAAATTATACAAGAATCAGAACAATCAGAATTGAAGTAGAATCAGAAAGAAGGTTTTCTTGAGGACGGTTGGTGAGTAAATAGAATATCACTTTTATTTTCATTAGAAGTGGACACGAGTAAATTTAAAAAAGTCCGTATACTGTAACTGTAGTTCATTACATTTTTAAATTCAGCAATATTACTTTCCCTCTTTTTGGGGAAAAGAGAAAAAATAACATTAATGTAAATGTCGAAATAATCTTTAGTTTTTAAACCTAATTATTTTTTTCCAAAAAGATTCAAACAAAAATAACTAGTCTTTTATAATTTAATAATTTTTTATTTCCTATGCATATAATAAAAAAAATCTAACTACATCAAAAGTTTAATTTGTGATTAAACGAAATTAGTGGATGCGCCCCAATTTGTTTTGGCGAAACTCTTTTCATGCACATGCAAACATAATCTACGCAGGAGAAAGTAAAACCGGGTAAGAAATATATATATTAATAGTAAAAANGTTTTTCGGTGGTCCCTTCGGCGTCGTATAAACGATGCTCCACTGTATATATATATATAAGAGTTCAAAATATAGAGAAAACATGGGAAAAATTACAGAAGAATGAAAAAATAAAAGGGAAATTTTTTTTTTACAGAAATCCGGAAAATAAAAGATATAATTTTTTCATGAGCTCACACGATCATATCCGCGAAAAAGAGTGCTTTCTAATATTTTGTAAATATAATCAACGCGAAATATATCAATACAATAGTGTGAGGGGCACTCAAAAAATTTTACAAAAAAATTGCAACAAATAAAATAGAACACAATAAGTAAAAATATCACGTAAAAGCAGAAAATAAAATATAACGAAAAAATAAAATAAAACATGAAATGAACTCTATAAAGCGAGTAGCGAATTCAAATGAACTTACATGAACGGGAAATTTTTCAAGAAAGATTTAAAATATTGTCGTAACAAGATTGCCAGATTGCAAAAAATGAAAACAAAAGCGCAAATTGAGCTAAAAGCGTAACTAGAGGAGTTTTGTATTAAAGTGCGTTCTTACTGCAGAACAGAAGCGCGTTTGATTTGTTAGTTACCAAGGATGGGTCTGAAAATGGATGCGCACAGGTAATATTATGCAAGATAAATTAAAGAAGTTGACAGTTAATAATTTCAGAAAATTAATATTTATTTAGAAAAAAAATAAAATAGAAAAGAGAGAAAAATGAATTTCCTGTTTTGCTAATCTAAGTTTTTTTTTCTTTTTAAAAAAAAATATATATAATTTTATATCTTTTTTTTAAACATTTTTCATTAAAAGTACTGATAGTAACTCCTGCAGTAACTGTTACAAAACTTTTTTCTTTATTTGCGTGTATTGAAAAATTCTGAAGTGAAAATAAACGAGTTATACTTAGTTTTCTTTCGCATTTCATAAGTATTTTATTTTTAAAAACGTCATTTAAATGTGGGAACGAAAGTGCATCAAGATATATCTAACAATAATATGCCGGAAACAAATAAAAGCCATGATCTACTTAAAGCTCAAAATATCTCATTCATAAGATAATGAGGTATTTGAAGCAAATATAAGCACTAATAATGACACGGAAAGCATAAAAGTTTTGTATTGCTATAAAAGGATGAAAAAAAGTCTTATGTCAAATATGATATTGATTTATAGTGCTTTAGTTTAACATTAACTGAACATTACACAACATGTTCCTAAAACAAACTTAATGACACTTCAGATGAAATGCGAAATGTTTTTGCAAATTTAATAATGCAAATTTTTTTTAACATTTATTCACAAAATAATGTTGGTTAAATGGCTTTTTAATTAAAATTTATATTATTGTGAAGTTTTCTCCTTAAATTCATTTAAAAATTGTTTTTTTTTTTCATACTGGATTACTTCTAGCTTATTATTTAACGCGTTTAAATTTTTACTTGTTACTTTTCAAAACAGCATTCCCATGCTTGTTGATATGTATAATCAAACATAGCATATTTTTTAAGCATAATATTACAAGCTATTATTCAAAAGTGAAATACTAATTAGCTAATAATTTTAAAATATATATTTTCATAGAAATTGATAAAATAAAGTAGTTTTTATTTTATTTTATAACCGTAGTTAAACAGCCGGCCCTATTTTGGGTTCACGACTACTTATGCTCCTTAGCGTTTTTTGGGTTCACGACTATTATTACTCCTTAGCGTTGTAATTTTGAACTCTATCCAGAAGACAAGAGAACTCCTGGATTAAGTAATGGGAAAAATTTGTCTTCATTTTGAACTTTTTGATGGAACTATCTCGCATTTGCGTAAAATGGAAAGGAAAAACAACGAAAGCCTTCCACGGTTAGTCTGACGGTAAGGGATCTCTAACCCATTATCTGTCTACCACTGAGAATATTTTACGACGGCCCTATGGTCGGTGCGAGTCGGGTGCGGAATTCGCATCGGTCAGCCATCGTTGAGACTTGAACCTGGTTCACCAAATTGAAAGATGAACGCTCTATCCCCTGAGCCTAATCTGTGTCTTTTTAAAGCAATCAATCTTTCCTAGGAAGACGAAGATGATGAAAGCAGTTGGCGAACCAATAAGGGAGCACTTAGGTGTTTACATCCAATTTGTGTCCACTAGCTTGAGAAGACATGACAAGAGAAGAACAGAAATGTGTTCCCGAATATAATCCTATTGCATTTTGATAATTAAGTTAGGAAATTTCAGAAAAAATTGAGAAACATTTAACTTGCTGAAAGTTATAAAGGAAGGAAATTTCATTAAATCTATTTATGTACTTCTTAATGAATAGTTACTTAGGAAAATAGAAAATCCTGAAATGAAAATCTGAAAATCCCTTATACTGAAAAGCTGAAATAATTACAGTTGTTAATTAAATACAGTTGTAATTAAAGGTACAATAATAATTGCGTTTAAGATTTAAACTCAAAAAGATTCTTACCCTGTCCACTGCATTTAATCCATCTATGACAAGGTGGGAAGTGTTCTGACTCATACATGTCGTCTGACCTTGCTCCATTTACAATACTCAAAACAACAACAGTTAATATTAAATTAATTTTCATCTTAACAACAATGATTATTTACTGCCTTATTTTAATATCGATACTCAGCTATTAATACTCAACTCAGATGAAGTAGCTTTAAATATGTATAAATTAGCTGTTTAAATAATAAAACGTGATCAGAATACATTTTGTGGGTTGAATAGGTAGGTTTTGTTAAAAACAATTGAAAATTCGTTGTATGCGGATCTCTATTTCCCTATTCTTTGTTTTGAACTTTGGATTTCAATGAAAAAATTGAAAAAGTAGCTATATTAGTACTGAGATATCTTTTTGATTACAACTGAAACAAAATCTATTATAATTTATTTTGATATTACAAGTTTCATTACATATAAAGATATATTTTTTTAATTTATTTCATTCTTTACAATTCATTACAATACAACACATACATTCATTTTCAAGCTTTTTTTTCACGGAAACAATATTGTTCTTTGTACATGCATTGCTAAGTATTTTTTCTATTGTGGTTTTTATCCTGTTTTCCTTTTTTTCTGTTTAAGGGACGAATAGATTGTTACGCTTTTGTTACGTTTATTTTTTTTTCGTATTGAAAATAAAAATAATTGTGGAAGGAAAAGAAAATTATAATGTAATGAAACTTGAATATATTTGCTGAGTTTCATTCGTTTTTATTAATTTGTGAAAAAAAAAACTAGTTGAGTTGACAAAAGTGGCAAGATCAAGTTTAAAAAAATTCGTCATACCTCATTTATAAAATTAATAAATTTTCGTATGAGTTTTCATAATAATTTACAGCGATCGAACAGCATTTCAAATTGTTGATGAAGCGGCAATATATATTGTAGTATACATACCAAAGTCAAACTTTTTGATGGTTTTCTATTGATGGACCAACATAAGTAACCATCACTCCAATGCAGGAATTCGTTCTGATTTATGATGGGCCAACATAAGAAAAAAATCAAATGGTTCTGATGGTATATTTCTACTAAATCAACAAGAATTTCTATCAAGCCATCATGGAAATGGACCAATGTACCATTATGGATCATCAAGAATTTCCATAGTATAGTAGTAATGAAATGCTGGAATGATCATGAACAACCATCATTCCAATGTAGGACTTTGGACTGATTCATGTTGGTGCAAATTCCTGAGCACCAGCAAGAATTCTCCTTAAACCACCATGGAAAAGTATAGTTGGCACCATCATGGACTATTACGGATCATCATGGATTGTTGGTTCATGAGAATCAAACTTCTCTTGGTGGTCAACCATCATAGCATTAAAGAAGCATTTTCCATGGGGAATAGAAATTAAGATGCTATTGAAAATTCATCCATACCCGTGTGGTTGCGATCCCCTTCGTAATAACAGGAGAGAAATACCTGATTGAGGTATATTAATCAAGTATTGAAGTAAAATGTTTTAATACAAAACCTTTCCAGTAAGAGGAAGAGCGTACATAGCTATACATACGACTATATATATAGTGATAAATCTACTATAACTATATTACTATTTGTTGTTTAGTGATAAACTGGAAGATGTCAAATAAAGCACTATTGCACTGAAACATCTTTCTTTAACGCGTTCACGCTGGGAAAAGTGAAAATACTGGTACGGGAAAAGAGAAAATACTGGTAGAAGAACTATTTCAATATTAGATAATATTCGGGAGGAGTTAATCTATTCTCAACAATAACAATTCACTGCAAGGAAATTGATCACTTACTTACTTACTTTATTTAAAAACAGCTGGGCACCTGGGCCTCGCAGCGGCTCCTATCCCATTCATCATGAAACTACAAAAATGAGGTAAAAACATTTTGAATATAAGCAGTCGTTGTGGTAGCTTTACAATAATATTACCATGATTAGAGAAAATACAAACTTGAACAGAGATATTCACAGTAATTGCCATGAAAAAATGTACAGGAAATATAACCTTGATTAGAAAACATTACAACTTGAACAGAGATATTTACATTAATTGCCATAAATATGTACAGAAAATTGAATATGAGCATGAATAAATGATGATTATATATATACAAAAGTCGTGATTCATAGGCGTGAAGGTTTTACATAAATTTTGTCAAGCCTTAGTGGCGCCATCTAGTATGATCAACTTTAATTTGAAAGGGCAGTATGCAGTATTTATTTTAATAATCTGTATGGAAAATTAGAGTTCTGAATAATAATAAGAGTTCAAATAGAAGTTCAAATCAAGTCAAAAAAGATGTTACTGTGCAAGAGTGGCTTCCCCCATAATCCTCTGAAGCAGTTGAAGCACTTCTTGATTTTTTAAAAGTTCTTGCAATTCTTTAATTATTGTAACCAACCTTTGAGCAAGTCCTGTTGTTGGTGGTGGTATGGCACGTGTTCCCCTCCTGCGGGGACGGGCTCTGCACCCCGTGTAGTTGGCTGTATGAGAGTCTCCGCAGTTACTGCACTTAGGTGGTGTATTTTCATCTTTTTGGCACTCGTATGATCGGTGTTTGGCGGCGCACTTAACACATCTTGATGGTGAATTACATGATCTTTGACTGTGTCCAAATTCTTGGCAGTTGTAACACTGGATTGGATTTTGCCCGCCTCGGAACCTTTCAATACTGACCGGGATACTTTGTATATTGGTGATAGAGAAAATTTGTCGATTAACATCTGTTTCTGTGAGAATTGTGAGAAAAAGTGGGAGGAGCCTGTAGGTCCCGCCCNGCCAACATTGTAAATTTAAAAAAAAAAATGCTTTTATAACTTATGTTTGTCTGCGTATTTGTTTCTATATCACACGCATTTACTAGAGAACATAAATTATAAGCTTAGTAAGCTTTAAGTTAGTATTGGATTTCCCCCATAATTTTGTCTGCCTCTTTTATCTGCTAAATTAAAAAAAAGAACAATTTGTTACGAAACTGTTTTGATGGCAACACACTTCGAAATAATGAGAGATAAAATTTTTTTTTCAATATTGCATGTGAATAATTTAACGTAGAGGAAGGAAATATGTTATAAAATGGTACAAAATTATTTGCCATCGGTAAGAAAAAATGAGAGATCGTGGGTTCGAACCCTGTCGGCCGAATACTCTCCGCTTAATAAATAGTGACTGATGCACGTTAAATCTGTCGAGTCGCAAAATCCTCCATGTTCCCATAACAAATCAATACCTCTGGGGGTTCTGGATTGGAGATTGATCGTTCTCTGATTCACTTCAAAATTACGATCTCTGCATGAATAAATGGTTGTATGAATGAGTCGGCATCATAAAGGGGTGTGACGTATGGTGTGGCAGAAGTTGAGTTCTTGGCCATAGATGGCGCCACTGAAAAAAAAGAACAATCCAATCGCACCCCTCAGCCTAAACAGGTTTACAAAAGCAAGCAAGTGCGAGTGGAATGCAGAAATGGATTAAAGCAATAGATTTTCGTCTTTTCAATAATACCAGAGAACTACTCGGCCTATTGCTAATACACGAACTATTAATAATTTCAAACTGCAGAAAAAAGCATTATAAATAGGGGTGTTTTCTTTCTGGAGTTTCCAAATAGCATTCTGACAAGCGGACAGATTTTTCACTTTTATATAAAAAGAAATCATTAATATCTTAAACTAAAGTAAGATTATAAAGCAAGATTTTATTTTATAACAAAGCTGACCCAATTGTGAGTTTACGACTATCAATGTTCAACTCCGTAGCCAAATTAAATAAAAATTATTATTATTTTTTGTTGTTGTTGTTAATTTTGAATTATGGTCAAAATGACCGCAATGGTGTTTCTAAGAAGGTATATATATATATATATACAGGAAAAGTTTTCGGTACACTACAAATGCTTGATTATCCTTTTTTTTTTGTTTGTCGAAAAGTAGTTGCCTCTATTGACTGTCCTTGCATTATGCTGACAATATTAAAATGATTCGAATTAGGCTTGATGGAATAGAAGTGGATGGAAGTTAAGATTCTGTGCAAAATTCTTCCTGTCACATACTGTTGCGACACCCCCCCCCCTCATAATAGCCGGAGAGAGGCATCTGGGTAGGGCATAGGGGCTACTCTAAGATTGTTTCGATTGCAAACCAAAAATCACTTATAAATTCTGCCATTACTATAATTGCAACTTGACAGTATATCGTGTAAAAATTGACCCTTCTTTTCTTATATGGATAGACAGCGCATGCTCGAGTACTCAAAACTGCGAAATGACAACAACAACAAAAAAAGAAAGAAAGAAACTTTCTTAATTTTAGTTATATCAATTTAAACAGTAGATATTGATGCTTATAGATGATCATTCAACAAACTAACAAATTCCAAACTTTTTCCTTTTTCACAAAAATATTCATTCCAAGCATATACATTCATTTCATTCTTTTCAAGAACTTTCACACAGTTATAAGTTAAATGTTTTATAACTAAACCTTTCTGAAAAAAGGAAGAGCTTAGATAGATCTTCCTTTCTCTAGATGTTTTATTGCTGATAAACAATTGGCATGATATCGGTGATAAATAACCTCAAAGTCAGTTAAATTTCAATTATTTCGAGATTTAAAATCATGTATTCAAAAAGCAAGAAATATATTTATAAACTCTTGTTGTAAAAGTGACACTGATTTTAATTTTTAACTCATACATGTTTGCATATTCAGGTTTTAGGTATTTTGGGGCATTGTTGAAAATTTTACAGAGATAAGTATCGAGGGGTATTTTTTTAATCCTGAAATCATAATATGTTTAGAGCAACATATGCCAACATTGTAAATTTAAAAAAAAAAATGCTTTTATAACTTATGTTTGTCTGCGTATTTGTTTCTATATCACACGCATTTACTAGAGAACATAAATTATAAGCTTAGTAAGCTTTAAGTTAGTATTGGATTTCCCCCATAATTTTGTCTGCCTCTTTTATCTGCTAAATTAAAAAAAAGAACAATTTGTTACGAAACTGTTTTGATGGCAACACACTTCGAAATAATGAGAGATAAAATTTTTTTTTCAATATTGCATGTGAATAATTTAACGTAGAGGAAGGAAATATGTTATAAAATGGTACAAAATTATTTGCCATCGGTAAGAAAAAATG